ATCCGTACTGATACTACACAAACTGATTATGATAATTTACCATTATAATATGTTGTTTGAACAGATGACATCACTGGCTTGGCAGCGAAACACAAAATGTCACATTATAGTAGCGGTCTTCACAGTAGTGACGGATAACTCGCTTTGAAAGTAAGAGTGCATAGCACCAATGTGAGGTGTACAACGGCGATAACAAGAGTATGTTACATGTATGTTTTCAGTTGATAATTATTAGAGAAACAATCTTTTGGATCTTTAGGGATTTATTCATTCGAATTGTCAACTTTTGGTGGTAGACAACACACATCAAGGTTTCCTACTAGGTTATTTATGCACAGATGACACCACTTGGCAGTGAAACAGGAAACGGCAGATTCAAAATGGCAGCGACCTTACACCATTGACTGATAATGTAAAAGTACATAGAATCAACGTGATGTATACAACGGAGATGCCAAGATTATGTTACAAGGATGTTTCCACGGCTTCTCTGGGTAGAGCGCATCCGAAACGTCCAATTTTCCATGACTCTGGTGCATAAATCAGGCTGACTTTGACAGATGGCATAGATTATGTTGCTTTGAGGATCGCTGTAGTTTGTGGCTTATTTGCATATACCTGCGACTCAAGAAAACCCCACAAGAAAAAGTCTAACGTGGTCAAATCGCACGATCTAGGTGGCCAGTTCACATCATTTTCGTAGTAAAACTATCGTTTGTCTGCAGAAAATGAACTTCGCCCTTTATTTTCAGAAATGTTTTTTTTTTTTGCATACAATGTTAAAATCTATATGTATATTATTTGAAAATAATAAAGACCTTTATTATTATCACCTCCACGTGACCATGCCACCAAATCGCTCGTGCAGAATATCCCATGTGGCATGAGTTGTGTGGTACGTAGCGTCGTCCTGTTGAAACCCCATGACGTTAGTGTCCAGATTATCCAATTCAGACCAAAACAAGTTGGTAATCATCGACCTATGGTGCTCGCCGTTAACAGTGCCAACGGGGCCGACGTCGTTCTCGAAGAAATGAGGACAGATGACGATGCCTGCCCAGAGTCCACATCAAACACTGACTTTTTTGGAATGCTGAAGATGATTTTTCGATGAAAATCAGAGTCAGTTTCCAACTGCTTCCAAGCCAATTCAGCTAACACACGTTGTTGTCTACGGTCGTTTACCTTCAGTTCCTGGGTCAGTTGAATGTTTTATAAATGCAGGCCCAAGTCACGAGAAAAAATTCGCCAAGTTGTGGTCTGCGAAAGGCCGAGTTCTTGTGAACGACGCGAAATCGACTGCCTAGGATTCTCCCGCACACTTTCACAAACAGTGGCGATATTTTCGGTTGTTCTTGCGTTTCGTCGACGTACGGGTGTCGGCCGATCATTTACTGAACCAGTAAACTCAAATTTATCCACCACATTGCGAATAGTCCTCTCAGTAGGACGATAATGACGACCGTAAAATGGACGAAGCGCGCGGTACGTTGCCCGAACAGAACATCCATTTTGATAAAACAATTTCATTATTTGCACGTGTTGTTGAATGCTATATCCGTTTATGATGAATTGGCAAAACAGACTGAATGAATAACAACTAATTTAATAGATACAGCTTTAAAAAGATGGGAGTTATCAGAAAATTGACAGATGAAACTTTCAAGATGGCGACTGGGCGCCATTTGGGAAAAAAATAATTAAATGGAATGGGGGTCTTGTGATACATTATTTCGAAGCTCCTAACGAATACTTCACAACCCTAGAATATGAAGTCGATATCTTCACCTACTACAAAATGGCGGATCATTTTATAATTTCCTGAAGACAAACACATTAATATCGATATTTCTAGAAATATTCTTTTTTATCTGCCATTTGGCTATTCCAACAACCCGATAAGGTTTGTTAAGCTATTTTTTGTTATAAAAACGACAGTATGACAATGAACATCATTGTTCAGTTAGAATATTCTCATTTAGTTTTCGGTTTTACTAGTAGAAAGGTACCACGTCAACAATCTCTAATATAATCAACTCTCGTCCGTTCGAAGGAAAAATTGAGGCAATTTTTATTTACGGTGCGATGCGTAACTTTCATGAGACTGAAATGATTTTCAATGAACATTTTCCGAATCGTCCTATCTGTAGAAAATATTTGAAGGAACTTGTATCGAAATTCACAACTACCGGTAGTGTACATAATTATATTCAAGGGTTGTGAAGCGTTTGTCAGGAGCTTCAAAAAGATGGCGACTGGGCGCCATCTGTTAATTTCACTACAAAATAAAGTATTCATGCATTAATCTCATTATCCTAAATTTCAATTTTTTGGGTTGACCCGTTCAAAAAATAAAAGGGGGGGATTAAAGAAAAGTGCTGTATAAATAGCACAAGACCAGAGACAATTCAACAGCTTTCTCAATTTCAGATAAAAGGATCTTTTGAAATATTGTAAAAAATCATAAATGGAAAAACGTACTAATATTTCATAAATATGCTCGTATTTGAAGAATGTGTATACAATCTCCTAACACAAATGCTGCTCCCACGCACCAGCACCGCAATACTCTTCGCGAAGACAACTATGTCTATGTGAAAGGAAGCAAGTAATGAATTCAAATAAGATTCCTCTTGGCTGGGATTTAATCAAATAGGTGAATGAATGTCATTACGATGTCATCGATGACATAAGTAGATCAAACTTTAAAAATCATTAAATCGTAATTCATGAATGCATTGTCTATGATGTTATCCAATTTGGTACCGAAGAGCCTTGAAGCAAGTGTCTTACAGCGAAACATCGGTGTCTACCAGTGAGGATGACATTGTTCCATGTAAATGCAATTTGTTACCATTCATTCAAAGTAGAACTCCTGTGAATGATTTCTGGTTTTATTCCATAACGAATGTTTGGAATACAAACTGAGTAGAGGAAAGTATCTTCTGTATGATTCAGTGTTCATATAAAAGNAATCCCTAGATCCATTAGTAAAAGAGGAACGATAGAAACAGTGTTAGGACACCGAAAATGTATTTAAACTTGTATCCCGATAGACGATAACCAGATCGTTCGTATAATAAAAGACACTATTATACAATAGTCATGGCCGGATTTAGGGTGGGGCTACTGCTCCATCTGCCAACTTTTACGTCGTTCGTCCCAAACAGTTTCTTGCATTTTCACTAAGAATACTTGCACAAACAAAATAATATTATCATCGTTATAGCAGAAAGCTCTGATTGTAAGTTTCCATTTACTATCAATTTTTAATTTGATCAAGCATATCAGCGCGGCAATACTTTTTTCATGTGTAATTTGTAATGTGTACCCCATGACTTGAAGAGAAATAAAACTAAATCCGAAAAACGATTGAGCTTCTTCGAGTTCAAAATTCTAAAAATTATTTGACGAAATCACCCGCTTACCCCATATTGAATTTTTTTATTTTTTTTAGCTGTCGTGTTCTCTTTTTCTTATATATATGTTAGAGTAATGCGTTTCGAATCACATTTTTTTTTTATAGCAAAAAACATAGGGGCTTTCGTTGCCTCTAGGCCTTTTGAATTCGGCCCTGACAATAGTTTCCCAATATGAACATGCCTGCGGAAGCTATTGTATAGTGAAACATGTGTTGCGCTTTTCAGTGAAAATCTCACAATGAAGTATTACTAGAATATGTTCTAGATTTTCATCAAGGGTCAGCCAAGTATCGACTTTATTTGAATAATATTCTTCACTCACAAATGTGTCCCAGCTAACAGAAGTTTTGTTCGCTGAAAAAAACCTTACAAAAAAGTGTAGTCTGTTTTGAAAAATATTGGCGTCTGTCTGGTATTATATATACAGGGCTATTCAAATTCGTTTCTGTACATGAAGATCTCGTAAACGATAAGAGAGAGAGAGAGAGAGAGAGAGAGAGTCGGTTAAATTGTGACAAAGTTGCGTATTTCAGAGACCTATTCAATGATGTAAAAAAATCGAATATAGCTTTTCTGGTTCTGGAGATATACAGGAAAAACTAATCCCAAATTATTTTTTTGCCTATATCTTCTTTATTCGCAGGCATATTGAAAATCTGTCATGACACCCTATATAAAACATATTCTGATAGCTCACATCAAGTGCCAATAGCAAAATGTGGACAGATTTTCAATATGTCTGCGAATATAGAAGATATCGACAAAAAATTATTTGTGATTTTTTCGTTTTTCCTGTATATCTCCAGAATCGAAAGAGCTATATTTAATTTTTTCACATCATTGAATAGGTCTCTAAAATACGCAACTTTGCCACAATTTAACTCTGTCTCTTATCGTTTACGAGATCCCCATGTACAGAAACGAATTTGAATAGCCCTGTATATTCGTGTGGGTAATTGTTACAATTGAAAAATCTCTGAGTGGTAGCTCCTCATCATTTTTAATTTCAAAACCTCACATTTGGGATCGTTCTTCAAAGTCGACTCGTCTTTCGCTTTCAGTTCAAATCTGCTCGTGTACAAATTAGCTGCAAAGAAGGACAGTGGGTTTCCCATTGAAGTACTTCGTGCTGTCTGTTCTAACAGTTGATCTAAAAGCCATTCTATTTCAGGTAGATTTGTAAAGTAATTATATATATTCTTCGATCAACAAAACAAACAAAAATTGCAGGACTACACCGTTTCAGGGTGGGTACATTCTATAAGATATAACTAGCAGAAGATAGATTAGTATAGTTCTTATTTGATTGGTAAAAAGTAGTGAAAAGCGCGTCGATAGTAATGTCGCAGTTCTGTTATGTGGATGCAGTAGTTGTGCATCAATTACAGTTTTATCTTTCAGTAATTTCCAGTGTCACTTTCACTTACTCCAACAAAATATCATCAGTTAAAAATCTGACCCAGACGATTACCATAAATGTCTACACACTTCCATTATAGGCGGGTCTATTACAGAAAATCCGTACATTGTCTCACAACTTGAGTAAATACCTTGTAATTGCTTTCATTTGTTTTTTAGGAAGTGGTATACCATGGTTTCGCTTTCGTTTTGTATCTGGCGGCTGGTCTGACCTTCATAGTAGAGGTGAATCACTACAAAAGACAACATTATAGTAGGGATTATGAGCCTTACTTTGCAGCGGCGGTAAGTAATTTTAATTGAAAAAGTATCGGCTTAAGTAACAGTAAGAACATAAGGAGTATTAGTAGGATACTTCATGTACCCAGAAAGGTTGCATTTTGTAAGAATATACTGCAAAAATTTCAATGCACCCTTGACAGTTCAATTTTCTCTAATGAACTTTAACATTCCAAACAAGAGTTTATACTAGACTTTCCTTTTTTCTGTTTAAAAATACATATTAGAACTGCTTCGAGGAATGGAAAAAACGCTGGCACAAGTGTATTATATCTGAGGGAAACTAATTTGAAAGGAACAATATTAAATTGATAAACAAATATTTTTTTGAGAAAAATTTAAATTCACCTGGTTTTTTTAACAGACAACGTATGAAACCTGTACCTGGAGTGACGACTTACCAGTCTTGTGATACAATGATTCTGAGTTCAGTTCAGTTTGTTTAGCTGCCTACATTATGACTGTCATATAGTCCCATGCCAATTTTCAAGTACCTAATTTTGCAGAAACTAGGAGCCTTTGGTGCCATTTGATTGTAGAAATGTCCACAGAATAGATCCGGTATATTGCTCTGAAGTTGTTACTTATTTTTGAAATAGTTCCTTATTGTCCTAGACTTATTGAGACTCGATTCATTTTCTCACTTCAATTTTCTTGGAGTTATAAGAGCCCTCTATAGTTTGTGAACTAAATTACTTCTGTTTCTGCCAATGTAATCTCGAATTGATTGTTGTAGGTAACTATACTGCGAGACCACATATGTATGAGCATCCCTCGTGTACTCAGGTACTCATTTATCATACAATCAACACATAACCTCTCATAGGCCTAGCTGCCTTGATTCAAATTTGGATTCAAACTAGAATTCTTGTCGTACTCCACCTACAACTATTAAAAGTCATAATACATGTAGTGTACATAATATATCTAGTGATGAAGCATCTGTTAGTAGAAGAGTTATCATAAAACTACCTTTTGTAAAGTCAGTTATGGTTCAATATAATGGATCGATTTTACATGTTCGATCGATTGTTTTCATGTGTGTAACTCAGGTACACACATGAAAACAATATTCAAAATATCAAATGAACTTCCATGATAATAATTTTCACAATCATTTTTATTTCTAGACAGTGGAAATGAATCATTTCATTTCTATCGAGGAAGCTACGGTGTTAGCGAAATGCGTCTAGAAATGTAAATGTTTGTGAAAATTGTGTAATTATTATCATGGTTAGTGATATTGATTTTCATCAATTAACGGGTCAGTCCATTCATGAAAATGTAGATGAGTATCACCTCTCCTGAGAAAGCAAAGAAAAATCATTTAATCCTTATTGCTTGTGAGACTGAAAAACAATCAAAGCCATGGACATATATTCAACTAAATATTATTCAGTTATGAAAAGCACTGCTACCATTTTCTTCTAAATTTTAGGCACACTGGTTCTCAACATTTTGCCTATGAGCAAGGCCGTAGCCAGGGGGATATCAAGGGGGATTGATCCCCCCCGAAAGTTCTACAAGCAACGGTCATCCAAAAATTATATCAAAAACAACGTTTGGCTTTTTTAACATCACAGGAGCATGAGAATAACACCAACCGCGGCAATGGAATTAATTACTGGTATTTCTCCTCTGGACCTGTACGTTAAGGAGGTTGCGTTAATGGCCATGTTACGATTGCACACGGCTGGTGTAAACCTTGAAGTAGGAATGGGTCGATTGAGGCTGAGCCTATGGCGAGAAGCGCTTACTGCGCAACCTCTGCTGAAGGCAACCAGTCATGCAATTGTACCTAGGTTTGCGTTTAATAAACCCTACAAAATACAAATGAAACAACACAGAGTCAGATGCTACAAATGCAAAACGCATATATCCAGATGGCTCAAAAACCAAAGAAGGCTCAGGATATGGAGTGTACTCCAAATCACTAAGCCTAAGGATTAAGTGGGGAATGGAAAAAATACCAGCGTGGTTCAAACAGAACTGGCTGGTATCTCAATTGCCACAAGAAAATAACCAGGAAAAGAATTTCTGGCAAAAAAATAACAATCTGCACTGACAGCAGACAAGCCCTATTAGCCTAGAACAGACGTGTTACCTCAGGCCTAGTACTAGAGTGCCACCAAGATTTAGTCAAAGCTTCGGTAGATAATAACATAATCCTGGGGTGGATTGAAGGGAACGACAGGAGTAAAGGTAATCGCTGACTCTTCAGCCAAGGAAGTGGCTGGAGTAAGAGTTTTAGGACCCAGTGGCACCTACGGCCTGATGACTTCGACAATTGCGGAACTAGCCAAATGTTATACCCACGCTCAATCCCCAAAGAGATGAGATAAAATCAAAGGATGCAATCTGGCCAGGATCACCCTGGGCGACCCTGGGAAGCTGACGCCGAAGAAATATCTAGCGATGACCAGGAAAAATTTACGCTTAACAGTAAGATTTCTGACTGGCCACTGTCAACTAAGAAAACACCTCCACCTAGTGGATGTGTGAACAGGAAGATGAAACTGTCAGGCATGTCCTATGCGAGTGTCAGGAGTTATCGTCAATGAGAGAGTGTGTGCTCGGCGAGTTTTGGCCTACACCTGCTGATATAAAGGAGATGTCTCCTAGTGACCTGTCCAGTGTAAGACACGAGGGCCTTCTGCATAAACTAATCGCGTTCGACCTGCTTCGGGGCCTGATCCGGTGGATTGGGTCTTTTCTGAATGACAGAACATTTCAGGTTAGAGTAGAGGACAACAGAGAGATCCTCGCTGGAGTGCCGCAGGGGGCCGTGCTCTCCCCTACGCTGTACTCACTTTACACCAGTGACATCCCGAGGTCTGAGCGTTCGAAGATATCTCTGTACGCCAATGGCACGGCTCTCCTCTCATCTTCCATGGATCGAGAGCTCGATGTCGTCTAAATGAAACGTGCATTGGACGACCTCGAGCGCTGGCACCTCGAATGGAAGATCCGAGTGAACCCGGACAAGACTCAGGCGATAACCATGGGAACATTGAAATCTTCTCCTACCAGAAAAGTGAGGATCTCTGGAATGGAGATTGACTGGCAAGCGCGGGTAAAGTTACTCGGCATTCTAATGGACCGTAGGCTCACCTGGAACCCGCACATCACAACCATGAAGGCAAAGATCGAGGGTCGGATCAAAAGTCTGTACCCTCTGATCAACAGACGTTCTAAATTAAACCTAAAGAACAAGATTACGATCTATAAAACGATGTTCAAGCCTGTCATCAGGTATGCTTCAGGAGTCTGGGGACAATCGGCTCCGTCTAATATCTCCATTCTGGAGAGATTACAAAATAAGTTAATACGGATGATAGTGAATGCTCCGTGGATCGTACGGAATGAAGCCATCCGCAGAGATTTGCAGCTGCCTTTCATTAAGCAGTCCATTCAATCGAGGAATCGGCAAGTCATTGATTGCGCAGAAACCCACGATAATCCGTTAGTTAGGGAAGCTATGGATTATGCTGTAGACGACCCCTCTCGATATAGATGGACCAGACACTGTCGAGTGAGGCCCTCATGTCCTCCGTTGAAAAATGAACAATATCTTCAACCATACAACCCAGCCAGGTAGGGGTCCACGTGAAGGGCAGTGCTGATGTTTGAGGACATTCATGCCGCCATCCCATAAATCAGTCTTGACTCGTTTGTCTCTCTGACGAATATCAGTCGAAAGGGTAAGGGAGCCAGGCTCCAACCTGTTTTAAGCCATGATGACACGAACAAGGGACCTGCCCACCTTCCTGGAAAGGACAGGATCGACGATGACCTAGGAGGACAAATCCTTATGAGGATGTACAATGGGTCGCATGTTGCCTAAGTGCTGTGGGCCTACACTCACCCTCTCCACTCTACAGATACAGATACTATTAGAATTATAAAATCCGTTAGAAATTCTATCAAGTCCTTGGCAAAACGAACCAAGTGTTTGAAAGAGAATATTGAAAAAAACTTCCCCGAAACACAATGGACAAACCTTACGGCAATGTGCGTACAAACCTTCAAAGATCTTGGCGACACATCCTGTTTCCACATGCGTTAATGTTAATCCACTGTAGAATTGACATCGACACCGAGGAGGTGTCTGCTGCAAAGAAAGCTAGAAACTATCTATCTTACTACTACTACTACTACTAGAAAACTAAATTTGATTTTGTACAAAGATGTTAATATTTCTGTAATAGTTTTCTAATAAATATATATGATCATGAAAGACAATTTTCTTTCTTTCGTTATTTTTATATTTCATGTTTTTCTACTGCTCTACCATACCAAACCCTCCCGAAATTCTTTACTGGCTACGGCCTTGCCTATGAGAACAGAAAAACAGATATAACTTACATAATTTCAGGTACCTTCAAAATATTCCATTTTATGAAAAATAAATGGAAGAAAAAGTTCATCTAAATAAGAATTAGTCACTGAGAAAAACAATTATTATTTACAAAAAAGACATCTAGAATTTAGAGAGTTTATAATTATATTTCAGATAGTAGCAATCCTAAGTAATTCGCCTATATAATAAATGTATATTACCTGAAAGTTGGCAACCAACATTACTCAATAAAACCAGAGCCCAAAACAAAACATTCATAACCCAATATCAGTGCTACAAAATGCAATTTTACACTCCACTGTTCTTGAAGGAAAAGCCTGAGTGAAATGGCGATATCATCTCATCTTACAAACGCCATCTATGAGATCGACACGAATATCTAAGATAGTTTTGACAACGACCTTTGTTTGGGCTCTGGTTTCATCTAATTAGTTGCTTTGCGATGAAATTTGTAGTGAAACATAGAAGGCAAATCTCTTCAGGTGGTCTATAAAGTTTTATTATTCAGATGATAACAAAATGTATTTATTTTTCAGATAATTGGACTTATTGTTTCTGCTTTGTACCTGATGAGTACCATATTCGCCTTAAGGAGTTACAGAGGACTTTAAGTGTTATATAATCCACTTCGTTATTTATTATTTATTTTTGTAATGCAGAAAAACTTTTTTACCACATTTTGTATTTTAATTTTGAATCATTTTGCAGTCAAAAATCACTTGAAACCTGTACATTCTCAAACGATTTAAGTCAATTAAAATAATGATTTTTTAAATTTACTTCATCTTGATGTTAATTTTTAAGTTAGTTTGTTTCTATTATTTTTCATTCACAAATACATTAGGAAAACGTTCAATTTGTAATTGTCCTGAAAGTACTTTTATTTTCAGTAAGGTTGCGTAATTCAAAACCACACTTTATATTGAAACAATCCAATGTGGTATATGAAGAAACGGAACTATCAATATCATAATGAGGTTTTCGATATTCATGTTTTTGAATATAATTAAGGCTAACAAATGATACCCAAAGAAATCTCTTGTATTTTGTTGCTTTGAACTCTATAGTCAATTCTATGATAGGTTTTGCAAAACCATTCAGGCAAATGGAAAAAATATAGATTGTATACAAAATGAATCACTTTATTTTGTATTATTCTGGTCTTGACAATCAAAAGAATACATACTCATTTAAACACTTTTAAACTATCATCATTGATATCGAATCTAGCCCCATTTGATTTTTTTCTCATTTAATTATAAAAAATAGAATAGTCATTTTTAATTAATTAAAATTCATCGTTTTAAATATTCGATATGTTCACACCTTGAACAAGTATAAAGATACAAGTATAAGCAACAGTATTTTGTAGGTATATTTATCTCTCTTTGACATGAATATATATTTTTGAACACAGATTCAGTTGATTGCTGCCATAATGTAACTAAACAAATCGATGTGCCTTTGATGTACGCATACTTCGTATTTTGTAATGTTTCAATTATTGAATGAATAATTTTTGTATTAATATATAATATTGTCTAATTGTATTTATACAAATTGTATAGTATGTGAAATGAAACTGTGTGATTAGGAATTGCTAATTAAAACATAAAAAATTGATGGTTTCTCAGTAGAAATTCTCCTCAAACAGAAAAAACCAAATATCTTTATGGAAGATGATTAATTTTCCATATGACAAATATTTGATAAAGAAATTGATGAGTGTGTCAAAACTATTAAAAAAATTCCATGAAGCAAAGGACAAACTGCCCTGTTGACTCAATAGCGGGCTAGCTTGATTCTTATTGGTTGAAATGAATGACCTTTTACATGTGAAATTTTGCACAGGCTGACAGACTTTATCAATGTTAATTTCCTCTTTTTTTTGTTGAAATTGTTGGTGTTTTGAATTTCTATCGCCTCTCTATATAGTCTTGGATAGTATATCTTTGTTCTATCGAACACGTGGGTCTCTTTAAACGAGGAAACGGGGATGCCTTCTCCTAGTACATGTTTCGATACAGTGGATTTGTTGGTATGCCTCAGGGCGACAATTTGTCTTGTTTTCACAGAGTTAGATACTTTTTTTGTGGTTCCAATGTAGACTGATCCACAGCAAGTGGTCCTCAGGAGTCTTGAGGCATCCTTACACTTTTTCTGATAGTTTTTATTAGCTCGAGTACCGATTTCACCTTGCGTTTTTCCAGAATTATCCAGGACACTTCGTTGGCATGCCCATTTGGAGTTACCTTATAATTTCTTTCCTGAGCCTTCAGCAACACTATGGGTATTGGAAAAAATGAGCCTTGAAAAGTAATGTGTATGTGGCTAATGCGGTGGAAGCTCTTGGCTCCTACCGAGCAGCATCTAAATTGATAGCAAATTGCCAAAGACGACTCTCCTCGATAGGAAGACTTAACAGATTGTCTCTGGTCTAGATTCCTGACCATATTGACCTGGAAGGCAATGAGACTGCTGACTCCTTTGCAAAGGACGGTACTGGATGACTAGAAGATTTATGGACTTATGGCAGAATCTTCCAGGATTGGCTCACTCCAAGGCCTTCTTACAGGTCAATGTCATTTGAATCATCATATTCAGAGACTCGGACTATCGGAAGACAGTGTGAGTCGCCTGTGTTTGGAAAATTATGGAACAGCAGACTACATATTTTTGCCTACCCCGCTGGGGACCAAATCAGGTTTTAGAGTTCCACAGAGCCGTAACTCTCACCATCTGACCTGAAAGACCACTCACCATACAAAATAATCGGCTTCGTTGAGAAGCTGCGTTTATTTGGTCAAGTGTGAATAGGTATGATCCACAATAAACCCTTGCGGGTTGCGGTGGAGGGTCGAATAGACCCACTCACTTTGGACCTAACCTAACATAACCTAACGTGGCTGATGCTGCTACAAGAGATTCGGAAGACATTGACTTGAACTCAAATTCGTGTTGTTTTACAAGGCCTGATTTTTCGTATTAAGGAAAAAATTGGATTCAATATATATTTGATTTGAAATTAATGAAGTTTAGATGTTGATAGCTCTTCTAAGATTCGAAACTGGATGAGAGTTACAGTTTTATTCATGTTGAGGATCATTGCCAAATGTAGAAAGAAAAATTTTAAATATGAAGACAGATTGAATCCTAATGAAATAAATGAAGCTCAGAATGTTTGGTGGATGAGTGTACACTTTGAGATGAAACGACCTATCATTTTGACTAAAAATAGTGAAAAAATTAGAGTATATAAGGTCATTTAACTCATGTACAATAATATATAAGAGGTTCAATCGCCCAGATTAGCATATACAGTAGTTCAAATATCACTTGTTTCTTATTTTGTAAAGAATTGATAATTTTTTCAATGGAAATCGGGAGTTCGTTATATAATTTAATAGGCATAATTTCATTTTATGATTCCATTTTTTTTTCTAGTATTCCAATGTCTATTGTTGTTGAAAATTGAAAATTTAACGTTTGAATTGTTTTTATGTTGGGTAAAAAAGTTGTTTTTCAGAATTGCTCCACTATTCGAAATACATTGAATATTTCGAATCAAAAAATCGTAAAAACGGTAACTTTTACGTGAAAAATAACAATGGAATTGATTTCAAAATAGAAAGATTTATATGTAGCGCCCTCTACAAGTAGGAGCGGAACTAAGATTAAATGTAGCTTTTTCTAAAGTTAAACACATCATTTTCCAATTTTCGTACAAATATCGATTTTTTTTTCAAATACTAAAGAAAAACCAAGATTGAAATAAAATTTCGATACCGCACATCTTAAAAACAAAAGACTTGCAGACTCATACATTTATGACTTTCTGTCTTAAAAATATCTGAGGAATCGTCTTGCGAAATATTTGTCTCTTTTTTGAAAAAGACTCTTTATATTTTCATAATCCGAGATAATCAAAACATTGAATCGAGTCGCACTGGGTCAAGCCACATTGCTTTGCTGCATTTATATTTCAATTCATTATTGTGGCAAAGATAATGAAACATTTTTTGTGTACACAATATAAAAACGGAAACCAGCACATTCATTGACAGTCATACGCATCACACTAATTATAAAACAAGGCGATAAAAAATAATTCATCACAGGAAAGACCGTATATTTATACTTTTGCATTCCCTATTTCCAAAAATAGTCCATCCCCTACGAAGTTTGTTGCTCCTGCGTTGTTTATACGCCCAGTCGTGTGCCATCCGGGAATACAGTTTGAAATTGTCAGTACTCTATACAACACCTACGAAATACTGTGATATACCATTTAGGTACTAAAAAAATATGTCGCGGGGTCCCACTATAGTTACAATTTCCGGAGGTCAAAACGGAGTCAGCTGTTGCTGCTGTCGTTGTTGCACATGTATGCACTTGGACATTCTGAAAACAGAACCTGGAATGATCAAATTAACCGAAATCGTAAGTAATGGTTTTTATTTCCAATATTTTTTTTGCTGGATGTCTATCATGATACATGAATCACGATATTATTCTTGTTGGGAAAGGTATCTAAATCTATATCTATATTTTTTGCATCATTGAATTCTGAATCATTGATTCAGAAGTTCAGTTACAGGTACATTTCTGTCAAAATTCCCATTTTCACTTTTTTTAGTACAGGGGAAAGGTTGACTTCCCAAATAAAGGTTCATGTGGGGTTCACCAAAGATCAAGTCTAGGACCACCACTGTTTCTTATTAATATCAAATTCATTAGCTTATTTGCACTTGCAGGAAAAAATTGAAATGTTTGCTGACGATATTACAATAATAAAGAGGCCGTTTTTTTCATCTGATCCCACTATTGCTATCTCGAAAACGGTAAGACTTAAAAGGTCTGTTGAATTGAACAAAAGTTTCCTATTTTGGGGAACTATAATAATATCTACCGCCAAAAAACGGCCCTCTAGTTTTTTCATCGATAATTGTAGCCATTGTAATAACACATTCATATTTGTATTACAATACATGGTATGTATTTGAAAATAAAGTTGATGATGAATCTAATGAACGAAACGTTGCAATGCAAATTGGTTCATATCAGATTATGACAAATATGAAACAATATTGAAAGTTCCTCTGCTTTTTTCATATCATTCGAAATGGAGATGGTAGGGCCAAAAAATGAAATTCGGACAATTCTAGTTTTTGGCAAATATGTCAAAAACAACCACTGATATTCTCGATCTGGAAAGAGATTATTCTGGTTCTCCAAAATAGGTAACTTTTGTCCGATGTAACCAACCTTGTATTTACTGTTTCTGAGATAGCAATAATGGGATCGGCTAAAAAAACGGCTTATGCAAGGTGTTTCAAATTCGATCCTCATCATTAGGGTTTCGGAAACTATGAGAGATACGAAGATGGTTAAATTGGGGCAAAGTTGCGCATTTACCAGACTAACAATATGCCGTTAAGAAAGTTCTGAAATTCCGAGTATATCCGGAGATATCCGGAAAAATCAGAAATTTCGAAAATGGTTTTATTTTTCGAAGGATTCGAAAATAAATTGTACTTCCACTTTGCCACTGTTTCCCTGCTATATACATAATTGTGTTTTCAGATTTGCCATCCGACGTTTCGTCTTACGGATACCATCATCAACTTTATTTTTTCTTATGGGCGCTACATTTAACTTTTCAATGATGTATCAAAAGTTATAATTCTTTTTTGAAAAATTAGTGAAATTGAAAAAAATTAATTCTTATCATAATAGGCTTTGACTTTGATGTTTCTAAATTTTACTTTCAATTTGTGACACTCAACGACATTTTGTTATTGTACAAGTCATTGAATTTTTGGCGAAAAATGGCTTTCACGAATGAAGGAAAAAGAGATATGACACAAATTTACCTATACAAATACGATAGAAACAGTATCAGGACATCGGAAATGCATTTAAACTTGTATCCCGAAAAACGACAACAACATCGAACTATGTTCAAGTTATTGGCTCAAAATCTCACTGAGTTCGATTCATTTGAAAAGAGGAGAAAAAAATACGGAGGAATGATTGATTCTCTATAGCCCACTACGACTCTAAAGAATGATTGTTAGTCAGGTAAATGCGCAACTTGGCCCCAATTTAACCATTTTCGTATCTCTCATAGTGTCCGTTTAAAATCTGTATTTCCGTTAACCAGCTGTCGCACCCCTACGAACGACAACCCCCAGAAGTCGAAACATGTGCGAGCTAAGGATTAACGAGGTCTTACCTTTTAAAGTGTGATTACTAACACCGGTTGGACGATAGCAAGTGAAAATCGATCGTTCAGACTAGGGCTTGAACCACGACCAACACGGCAGTCAATTCGAGTGAGTGAACAAAGCACTCACGTCGAACCGCCTGGCTACCGAACCCAATGGTGAAGATCGAATTTGAAACACCCGTATAAGTTTTTGTAAACTTGTAATAAGATTCATGATCTTGATAGTCTTGATTAATATGGCATAAACTGACACTAGGTTTTGCCTCCATACATCAATTTGAAAGAACATATTAAATGCAGGTAACGAAATTATTGAATATTCAATGACATTGAAATTGCTTACCTCCACTTTGATGAGAACCTAGCCATTTTAAACATATGAGATATGAATTTGGGAAACAGTCACAAATTCTTTGTTTTAGGCTTTCTGCTACTTCAGCTAGATACAATATAATGTGGGAATCTTCCAAAGAAAGCCAATTGATTGCTTCCTTCTTTTCTCTGGAAGATTCCTACATTTTTTGTATTAAGATGGAGAAGCAGAAAGCCAAAAACTTTCTTTCCCAAAAATTAGTCTCTCCTAAATATATAATCCTTTCAAGTCACAAATTCATTGAATAGGTCACTTGAGAGCCTTCGGAAAGAAACTATCAGGTGCATTTTCACACTGGACTATAATGAAATCTGGATTTATTTATATAAACCTGAAAATATTCTAGTTTACGTTTCAAAATTAATTGTGATGATAGTCGTGCAAGTAGATACACTAACAATCAGAAAATAAAAAAAATGAAACAAATAGGATGGGAACAATATAAAGGTGGAGAATATACAAAAAACATTCATTCACATAAACTGAAATGTTACCAGAAAAATTGAAAAAAAAAACGGTTTTTAATGTTTTTTCAACAAAAATGATTTGTTTTTCCTGATATTTCATAGAGACTCGCCTATTGGCGTTTTCAATACTTTGCGAGTTTTTTAATCGAAATATTCAGTATATCATTTCATTTTAATGTCAGGCCTAAAAAATATCTCATTTTCAACCTAAAATAGCCATGTTCTGAAAACATATTTTTCAAAATTATTAGTGGTATTTTTTTATTGAATGATCTATTTTCAAAGTTCACCATTTGATTCGGAAGTTTTGTAGGCTTTACTTACTCTCAGTTTCTGAATAAAAATCGTTTCTGTAAAACTTTTTCAGATTTGTTGGGTATCTACGACAGGTGTGAATGGATGCTTTTATGTTCGTTCAAAATATTTGTGAAACGTCCTTATCCCTCACTCTGAAATTACCTAATGAGAAATAGAAGTATAGACTGGTCAAATTGACGTCCCAAAATATAGTTCCACTAAAAAGTTGCCAATCAAACATTTGAAGTGGGGGTTGGCAGGGTTTGAAATATTTCTATTTATAACTTTTGAATTTGACACGATGTGAACACATAACATACATGTTTTATCACTTCATTTTCAGGTATTGGGATTTTTCTGCCAGAGTCTAGCTCTCAATTTTGGACTTCAGTATACTTCCGTTTTGGGCCCGTCACTTCAGTCCTTCATTACTACCGTTACTTGGTGTCTCATGACCAGTTTTGTGATATTAGCCTGCTACATTTTTTCACAAAAATCTTTCAGCCTATTGAGATCTTCTTTATTTGTAAGTATTATCTAACATTTATACACATTATTTTGTTTAATAAGACCTTCAATTCACTCAAAGTAGGTTATACTTAGAAATCATATCTGATGAAAGACCGTGTTGAAGCTGACGTTTTGTCTACAACTACAAGTGAAGTAGACATTATCAGAAGCGATGAGGTAAAGGACGAAGTTCTCTCGTTGTCACAGCAGAAAATACATATTATCTTCGGTATTATATCATCGGTGGTGGGCGTGGCTTCGTTTCTATTGTTTGAATTGAATGACCTGATTTGTGTGTAATTTTGGACAGGTAGTCAGATTTAATTTATGTTAATACATCCTTCTTTTCGATGGAAATTGTGTCTGTGTTTTTGTTTTCTATCACCTCCCTATATTTTTGAATAGTAATACAGAGTTTTGTCAAATCTTTGCGTTTCATCAAACGAAATAACGTTTGTGTCTTCGAATGCATGTTTGGCTACAACTTGCTTTGTTGGTTTGCCCGGAGAAATATTTCGATAATGTAGTATCTGCTATGAAAACAACCAGATACATTCATCAGTTGCTTCATCGTCTTTGATAATGCCTACCTCAGTCATATACGAAACGTCAGGTATGAAAACCTGTCGTCTAATTTTACATTCTCTGATAGAAAACTTTTTGTAATCTATCAGTATTCTACGAATTGAACATTTTATGACCATAATATGATAATTTTCAATTGGCTTATACTTTATTTGCCAAAATATAACTCACCCTGTGGTCAATTCATAACTTTTATCCTCATGTGGATTAGCTAATTTGAATTACATTGGTGGAAGGAGGGGCGCCCTGCTATAGGGTCATGCCTCTTCAGGGTTAACTATGAGGTTATTTACCATATGTTTTCTAAATTTCAGAATATAATTCTCGTTTAGTAAGGATTCTGATTATAAATTATTCTCACGTAAGTATAATCGGGTTGTTCCAAAAGTTTTGTCCATTTTTATGAGTATATTGAACTGTAATATCTCAGTGAGTATTTATTCAATTCCATCAAAATAAGCGCCTGTCTCGAGGAAGGTATCAAGCGAAAGCTTAACACTGACAAAGGGTATTTTAGTGCCATTACAAATAGCACGTAGGTAAAACGTGAACAAATTGATATAGAATAATCAAATAGCTTTACAAAAAACCCTCTACTCAATCATTGATAATTGAAAAAATATCTGTCATTGAAGTCTTAACTCATTAAACTATTTAGTCTTAAGAGAAACGTTTTCAGAATTATGGACGGTGTTTACCATCGTGATCACTGTACACAGTGTATACCTTTTTTTATAAAGTACAAAATATTCCTGATGGCACTTGCATGTATATCTATCAAAAACGAATAAATAATATAATCAAATATTCGATATACGCAGATAACCACAGCCACTTAGGGAAAAGCACACCCTCTAACAAATGGTTAAAAAATCCAAGGTTGAAGTAATTTAGCTAACAAATTGCATGTATATCTATCAAAAACGAATAAATAATATAATCAAATATTCGATATACGCAGATAACCACAGACACTTAGGGAAAAGCACACACTCTACCAAATGGTCAAAAAATCCAAGGTTGAACTAATTTAGCTAACAAAAGCCAATGAAAATTAATCTCTTTAAAAATGTCACCTTCATCTGTGAAGGGTTCAATGTCTGGGAAGTAATCTGTTTTGTGAAAAATTACCTCTTGCAACTATGTTTTTTGGAGAGGGATAATCACCTCAATCCGCATAAATATATCTGGACCACTTTTTATTTTATTCAAATGTAATTTCATTTAACTTTCGTGAATTGTCATTAATTTCGTATCAGCTCATTATCTGTTGCTTGATAGATAATCAGCTTGATAGATAATCAGATTGTTTTATAAGTGTAATGTCATTGACTTGCTACAAATATGTTTAAAAAAATGTGGTTAAATAAAGGTGTGAATCTGGCTCAGAAAAATTGATCTATGGGATTTTTCAAATATAAAAAATAGCTGAGATTACAAATATTAATTTTCACTATATCTGAAACTATCTTGAACCATTCATTTATTTTTGTTTTCATTCAGAAACTTGCTGAAGCAATTTTTTAAATTATATTAATTTTTGTACAACCCATTACGTGCCGAAAAATTGAATGTGTGTCAAAAGGCATGAATATATGGTTTATCGCAAAAATACTCAACCCTTAACCCTAGAACCTCCATGTCGGAGTCAAGTGTAATACTTTATTTTTATATTTTTTTTAGGAAACTCTTTTCAATGGTGTTGCTGCCTTTAGCTATATATCATCATGTTCCTATCTAGGATGGGCTGTCAACGTATTTCTTCATCCTATGTACCTAGTAACCCCTTTTTTCCAAGTATATCCAGCATTGAGCGCCGCCTATGTAAGTTAATGTAAAAATATTCATTAATCCATCGAAAGTCATGAAAGTTAAACGATAAATGAACTGAATCAAAATAGCGTATTACAAAACAAAGTCCTCGTCTTCGAAAAAACATTTATTTCCATTATTGACTTCGTCCTGATATTCAGTATATGGGGGAGAGCGGGGCTGTTGTTCCCAGGGCGAGTTGTTGTTTCGACTGCAATAACTTTTTGAAACGTCAACCATTTTATTTAGTCCGGCATTAGCGACTGAGTGGTTCTGTTGATGTAATTGTCTGAATGAACATCACGCAAGTAAATTTTTGTTGAAACTATTTGGCCTATTTCTGCCTATTGTGGACAGATTTGTGAGAAAAGTTTCTAAATCATATTGCCATCCCTTCATGACACAAGAATCTATTAAATGAAGCGAACTGTTCCACTTGATTTATGAAGAGGAACCCCATTTCATCGATGAGAACCTCAAAAGCAACTAGAGCCGAACGTGCATCTGAATGTAACAGACATAATATAAATGTTTTTTTTTTACTAAGATCACTAAAACTCTACTGAAATTTTAGTTGATACCACCAACAATCTGGAACCTGGACAAGACTGGAGTCACAAATATGTTGAAAAATATGGTGGAACTGACCTATATTAGATGAAAATCCATTACAATGTATTCAAAAAACACGCTCTAATGTAAGATTATCACTTGAGAGTTTGCAAAACCGCGACACGTGTTTCGCTATACGATAGCATCTTTAGGCGTCACAACACCGGCAAAACTATGTCAATCTACATAATCCCTCTAATCGGTGAAACAGCATGGCCGTTCACAGCAACCCCTATAAGTATGATGAACGCATTAAAAAATTCTGGAATATGCTCTTACAACCCCGATATTTTTACAAGTAAACATTTTGTTCCATCTTTTGATAGACCGGCCAATGTCAGAAGCTAGTGAATCTCAAGCTCCGTCAAATGAAAAATTGGCGAAGCTAAATTTCAGGACAATATGATAAGCAATCAGGTTCATCTAACATTCCAGTATTACCTCAGAACAGTCGTCAGTGAAGAATAATGAACAACTTCAGAATTCGACAACAAATGAAAATAATGTGATCAAACTGAATATCCATTTGATGCCAACAAAGAAAAATATAGCAGCTTTAAAAAAACACTTCATTGTGAGATTTTTACTGAACAGTTTTACAAAAACGCAACACGTGTTTCGCTATACAAATATGCAGATGACCTTATCAGCTTGGCAAGATACGCGTCAGGAAGGGTAGCTTGTAATATACTAACTACAAAGTACGATGGACGTTGTTCACAGTTGGTGCCTGAGGGAGCAGATGTCTGTCAACCCCAGCAAAACTGTGATAATCGCCTTCACCAGTCGAAGAAAATTGAACGATTTAACGCCACTTTCCCTCAATGGTGAACAGAGGTGAAATATTTTGGCTTTGTCTTCGATGAAAAACTCACCTGGAACGCTAACTTCGAAAAAGTTTTACACAAAGCCAGACTGTCCCTATGGATATGTCGAAAGATTTGTGGTAAATCTTGGGGCTCAGGTCTCAAACATATCCATTAGATTTATGTGATGATTGTCAGACCGATGATCATTTATGGAGCCGTTTTCTGTAAAGCCTTCAGCTTTACAGAAAACGGCTCTGGCAAAGCTCTCTGGCTCACAGAAACAGGCTTGCTTGGTCATCTGTGGTGCCATCACTACCACACCATCAGCGACCATGGAGATTCTTCTAGATCTAGCTCCTCTCCACATATTTCTGAGGAGAGAGACTAGACTTGTGCACAATCACAATGCAGAGTACAATAGACTGCTGGTTGATTCTAGTAGTCAACCATGGAGATTCTTCTAGATCTAGCTCCTCTCCACATATTTCTGAGGAGAGAGACTAGACTTGTGCACAATCACAATGCAGAGTACAATAGACTGCTGGTTGATTCTAGAAGTCACAGCATTCTGGGAATAACCTCTGGCATTATGCTTTTAACTGTCAACAAAGAACTGCCTTATACAGTACTGTTCCCGAGTAGAGAGGAGAAGAAAATATTAAGAACAGATGGTTGTTGGTTCACAGATGGATCAAAAACACCTTCAGGTTCTGGTGCAGGTGTTTTCAGTCCCAGATCCAGGACAGAGATATCAACCTGCATTGGGATCTATGCGACTGTATTTCAAGGGGAAATCTATCCTATTGAATAGTGTGCGGAGAGATTGGTAGAATCCAACCTCATAAACAAGTCAATAAAAATATTCTCGGATAGTCGAGCGGCGTTGAAATCTCTTGACTTCTACCGAGCAACGTCTAAACTAGTAGCAAATTGCCAAAACGTTTTCTCGTCAATAGGAAGACTCAATAAATTGTCTCTGGTCTGGATTCCTCTGCTCCGAAATTTAACAAAAATTTTGCCTCTGTAAGTGTTACAAAATATGTAAAATTGACTTTATCATTACAAGAAACTGAAGGCATTCTTTCAATATTTGCACATGTTGAAAATGAGACTCTTCACTTTGATACTACAACTTCATGTTTTTTGAAAAAAGAAATTTGCAACCTCGATCTCCCCTGTTTTAATTATAATTAAAAAATTGGAAGAGAATTTCTGAAATAATGGAATAGAAAATTATAAAACCATGTGTATTTTGGATTCAGAAAACTCATATCCCAAAAACAAATATACTTTCAGTTAAAAATTTTTATTTTCATTATTCCTATATAATCTATGTTTGTTTGTTGTTTCAGATGATTGGTTCTGTGTTGGGACTGCTCTACGCATATGATGCTTACAAATCATATAAATATTTTAAGGGGTACAGATAGAAAAAATTTCAATCTACATCGATAACAAGAAAAAAAACTGTAATCTGGTGTACCAGAGAGATATAAAATGTTTCAAACATAATGCTTCCACATCTCAGAAAAAATTTAGTTGAAATGTTGTAGTGAAACTTCAGAAGTATTGTTACGCTTATTTGGGTTCTTGATGATAAATGAGTGGTAACAAAATTCAACAACTTATTCAGTAACTTAGGTTACAACTTACACTAAATTCAATTACACTTTACAATTATTTCACTTGTTCACTGTCGCCCCTAACATTTTTGCTTGTCTCAATTCCCAACTTATCTGCGTTCTGTTATCATTCTTCTGATCTCCGCACTAATCTGCGATCCGAGTCAATCTTCTAGATCTCCGAAACGACCAGAAATATATAACCACATTAGAACGCTCCAGTATGTTTGTGATCGCGTTATTAGGCGATCTTTGTTTGTTGAAGAATCTTTGTACACGTTTAAAGATGATCATGTGACATCATAAAACGTTGTTGAACCGTGTACCGCCAAAAAACGGNAATTAAAACTTTAATAACTTTAATAATAATGTCTTTCTTTGTTTTTTATGATTTATATTAGAATATTTATTATAGCATATCCACAGCAATGTTTTGTATATTATCAATATATTCTGTAAACAAAACAACTGTTTTTTCGTCGAATAAATATTACCTATATACCTCCAGTTTGCTAACATTCAATTGCATTATTTATATGGATATTAATGAATTATACTCCATAATATGCATTAATCATTAACTATAACGAATAACTTTTCCAAAACTATTATATCTCCTATCTCCTAGTATATCTCCTACACATCAAAACTACACCAACATGGTCGCACTCCTACGATAGACAACCCTCTGATGTCGAAGACTAACGAGGTCTTCATCTCTTGAAGACGCCAACTTGGTTAAACAGAAAAAATGTTGCAGTCGTTTCAACTAACTCATTCTCATTTACTTGAGAATGAATAATTGAAGTCAGTGGCGTATATAGGGGATGAGAACAAAGTAGGGTGTGACAACATGAGTGGTTATCAACGGAATAATTTAATCCAATTCAATTCATAGTAGTATGCATTCTAGTTAAAATGAGTCACCCTGAAAAAGTCATTTGATATTGAGACTGTAAAAAAATCATGAAACACATTAAATTTTTCAAAGGGACATATTTCAACTCCTTGTCAGCTACCCCCTCCCCAGAACAACCTTTTAGTCAGAAATTTCGTATGGACATAAGGTCAACTGATTGTTGATTCAAATGATTTTCAATTAAACATTTTTGATAGAGCGATGGAAATGAGAACGAGAAAATGAGACCAAACAGAAAAATGTGCTTTTTCAAATGTTCGAAATGAGCATCACCAACTTGCATACAATGGTATAAGCGAGCTTCGGTTTTCTTCTATACATTCTGAAGAATATCAGGTGTTAGTAGCCTACAGTACCAGTTAATATCTTTCAGTAAATTATATACAGTAATTGGCTGCGTCTTGTCGCCTTCAATTTGAACCATTCCCCTAGAAAAACTCCAGTGGAGCTAAATCGGGCGATCTGGATGGCCATTCTGTAGAACCTCGCCTTGCAATCGAACTCTCGCATTGGTACCGACAAAAATAATTGAAAAACTGGTTAAAAAGAGAATGCTTAACTTCTTAAGTAATCATAACATACTATGCAAATCCCAATATGGATTTAAAAGCCATAAAAACACAGGCGATGTAATCTTCTCTTTTCTGGAAGATGTATAGTTTGGTTTAAATCGTAGAGAATCTATTGGAGCAGTATTCTGTGATTTCTCAAAAGCGTTCGAGTGCGTGAACCATGAAACACTATTATTTAAACTTCAGTGCTATGGCTTTAGAGGATTGTCATGTAACTGGCTTTACAGTTATCTAATAGGCAGAAAGCAGTTAGTAAAACTCCAAGGAAATAAATCGCATATTGAGAATAATTTATCAGGTGTACCACAAGGTTCGGTTCTGAGCCCTATCCTTTTTTTTTGCTTTATCTGAATGATATGGTAACCATTGACATTAAAAAAAATCACACTTTTTGCGGATGACACCACGATCCTTTGGCGTGGGACAAATGAAGATAATCTCCGAGATATCATAACTCTGGATCTCTGTAGGGTTAAACAGTGGTGAGATTAAAACTATTGAATGTTTCAACACAAATAAAACAAACATAGTTTGCTTCAAACTCAATTTTGACGATTTTCTTATAGAGAATCACGCTATAGTTAACAGAACTCACACAACATTTTTAGGGGTATTTATAGATGATAAATTGGAATTTGATGAGCATATAACAAATGTATGCAAAAAAATATCATCTGGCTGCTATGCAGTTCGAGTTGTTTCTAACGAACTCAATCAATCCTCAGCCAGAACTGTGTATTTTTCCTTGATAGAGTCGCACTTGAGATATGGAATTGCCTTTTGGGGCTTTTGTAGTCCAGCAACTATTAAATTCAGTATTCGTTCCACAAAACAGGGCTGTCAGATACATATGTAGAGCAAAATCACAAGACCACTGCAAACCACTTTTCATCAGTCAGAAAATTCTTACTGTACCTTGTTTATTCCTTTTAGAAACCGTTTGATTAATTCACAAAAAATACTCCAACTCAGCAGTAAATAATGACAGACGTTGCCACACGAGAGGAAGTCGGAATTTACCCTTGCCAATCCCAAAATCAGCAATTACAAAATTTTCTTTGATATATGAGAACAAGAAAATATACAACCGCATTTCAATGTGCTATTGGGCAATAGCAAATTAGAAAATTAGTTAAAGGAGTACTTCTGCAAAAAGCCTACTAGGACTTAAAGGAATATTACGATGATGTATTTTAACTCTTAGTATTTCAGATGCTTACATATCTGATTTGAAAGGGTTATATTTATAGGAGTGATTAATATTTTGGGAAAGAAAGTTTTTGGCTTTCTACTACTCCATCTGATACAAAAAAATGGATGAGAGAATCTTCCAAAGAAAGGAAGGAAGTAATCAATTTAAATTCAGTGTTCATATAGAAGTATTTGTTTCGAAAGAATTTTTTTTTCTTTCGTGTAATTCAATGTTTATATGAAAGTAGCTGTTTCGTATATGTACATTTTTTAACCCTATGATTGTTCACTGTATATCATAATTATAATATTTTTTTTAAACTTTAACAATGTTGACTTCATAAAGTTTCACTAGCTTTGTCAATAAGGATTTCTTGGACAATAAAGCATGATTGATTGATTGATTGATTTGTGTCTGATTCTCGATACAGTTCATATAATCAATATCGGAAATTTTTCAAAATACATTATTACTGGCTATTTTCCTAAAGTGTTGTATTGTGCTAAGTAAATGCAAACTGAATTGAAGGGGTTATATTTTTAGGAGTGATTGCATGTAGATCATGCAAAGAAGTAACTTTCAGACACAAACTGAAAGAAAGTCCTCCTGAAACAGCTACTTTCGTATAAACATTGAATTACACGAAAGAAATTCTTTCGAAACAAATACTTCTATATGAACACTGAATTATACAGAAATACTTTTCTCTACTCAGTTTATATTTCAAACATTCGTTGTGGAATAAAAACCAGTTACTTATTTTCAAATTGATTATTTCCTTCCTTTCTTTGGAAGATTCCCTCATCCTTTTTTTGTATCAAGATGGAGTAGTAGAAAGCCAAAAACTTTCTTTCCCATAAGTACAAACTGTTTGTTATCTTTTACTGTCCTATTTTGTTACATATACATATATTCAGAATATACTTGAAACTGTATGTTATTTTATAGTTTATAATTTCATTCCGTGTTAGGAATCACGCGTTAAAAGGTAAGACCTCGTTAATCCTTAGCTCGCACAAGTTTCGACTTCCGAGGGTTGTCGTTCGTAGGGGTGCGACAGCTGGTTAACGGAAAAACAGATTTTAAACAGATATGACGTCAAATGAAGTTTGGTGAGGTGTAGTTTTTGAAATAACTGGATGGCGTTATTGATACTTAATACAATAGACACATTGAGCTAAATCTTTATCTTTTTCGGCACAAAGTTCATTTCTTGTTGATATTGAAAAATCTTCCTGTGAAATGGATGTCGACCATTTCTTTTGTCCACCAGATTTCTTGTTCCGTTCAGTTGATCCCGAAGGGTGATTTACATATACTACATGGGCTGAGAAGTCTCGGTCCTAACACATAGATGGTGCTAGTCTTATTGCATTCACCGTGTTATAATTTTATACTGCTTGGGTTCCTGACTTCGAATATGGTCGTAGAGAGAGCGATGATGCAGAACGCAGTGAACGTCCAAATAAGGCAGTAACATTAGAAAACATAAAAAAATCCACAAAATCGTTTTGAATGATCGAAAAGTAAAGTTGCGTGAGTTCGCTGACATTGTAAAGATTGAAAAAAAAGTGTTGGCTTTATATTGCATGAGCATTTGACTATGAGAAAGCTCTGTTCAAAGTGGATGCCACGCGAGCTCACTGTTGACCAAAAACAAGAACGTCTTGATGATCTGAGCAGTGTTTGACCATGTTCGAACATAACAAACTGAAATTTTGCGTCGATATGTCACAATGGATGAAAAATGGATCCATCACTTCACTCCGGAATCAAAACGATCGAAGTGGAGAGCAACTGGTGAATCTCGTCTAAAGCGCCCGAAAGCACAACAATCGGCTGGAAAGTTTATTGCCTCGATATTTCGAGATCTGCGCGGTTTAATATTCATCGAGTATCTTGAGGAGGAAAAACCATCAACAGTGAATATTATACATCGTTACTGGAACATTTGAAGGCCGAAATTGCAAAGAAACGACCGCATATGGCAAAGAATCTCACCTGTGTGATTGTGTGAGTCTTAATGGAGATAACATTGATGAATAAAGCCAACTTTGAACAAAAAACGCTTTTTTTTTCTTAGGCCCGGGACTTTTCAGCACATGTGTTTATTAAGGTCACATTCATTTGTTAAAGACAAAATATATGTTCTCAACTTTCTCAAGAATTGCTGCCCAAAGTAATTCTGTAGTAAGGAATTA